GTTTTAATTCCCGGGATCCATGTGAGTAGAGAGTGCAACACTATACCTTGCAACCGAGGGAGAGGTCCTCTCTTGTCGGGTAGTGTTTGATCATTATGGGYTGAGAGGTTAAGTGTAAGACCATTGAGGGTAATACCTGATGGGCTAATCTTGCATCTGCCCACAGTCCATGGGTTTTTATAAGGTGGCTTGACCCAATGACCATTTAGTGTAAATGTTGAGCCTATTAAGAGCCCATGGTGATGGACTCAGGGGTTCAATGTCTCTTACAGTGAATTCGGCTAGGCCTTGTAACAGAGGTTGGGCTGAACCCATGTGGCTGATGTGTAGATCAATGTTTGGGTCCCACGCAATACAAGGATATCCAACTGGGCAGCAGTTTGGAGGATAAGTGAGCACATAGACTTAATGGGCCTAAAGTCCAATTCGAACTAGCTTAATGAGATTAATTAAAGAGGGGCGGTTCTGGGATTTAGATCAGTAGATAGGATAAGGGATTGTCCCTATCCACTCAAAGAGTCCAGATCCAAATAGAGATTTGGATCAGGAAACTCCTAACTAGATTTGGAGGGCTGATCTTTATCTGCAGATAAGATAATGGATTATTCTTATCTCTTAAAGAGAGTCCAGATCCAAATACAAGATTTGGATTAGGAAATACCTAATGGGATTAGGAGAACCTCTCTTTAAAGCTATAAATAGAGGAGCAGGGCGAACCTCCAGATCACCCTTCAGTGTATTGATTCACGAGAGAAGATAGCATACAGTTGGACTGCCTCTATCTTCTGCTCTTGCTCTCTCCTGCTATTGCTGCCATAACCAGTTCGATCTCCACTCTAGGAGCGATCAAGAAAGGGTTCTTGATATCATCTTTTGGCAGAAAAGGTGATCTGAAGTCGTGATCACTCGCCCTCCATCAGATTCTTGCTGAAGAATCAGGTTCTTGCTGAAGAGCCATCCTGCTGATTCTGCTTCTTCCTGCACCTTGTCATTTTCGATGGAAGCAGTCTTTGGATTCATTGGAGGTTAATATTACTTCGTATCAGGTATAACCCTCCACTCCCTTTTGGTTTCAGATCTGGTCTGGTTTAGTTTCAAGATTGATCATTGAAAATGCAGTTTTCTAAAATAAGGAATGTGATTCCCACATGGGAGAGAGAAATTTTTGAAATCTCGCCCAACCTATTTGCAAGGTTCGGCCATCCATATGATGGATTTCTCATCCCTTTAATAATGTACATCAAGATATATCTTTACAATGCAGTCTACTTTGGACATTGTTTTTCTTTTAAGTGTTTTTTGCTCTAGCATATTCTTCAAGGGGTCAGATCACATCCCCCACCCCCGTGATTATTAATAAAACTTCCTTTTCTTTTTCAAAAAAAAATCAGAATAATACAGGTTGTTGTCTGGATTGATTTCTCTTGTTTTTTTTTTTTTTTTTTTTTTTTGGAGTTGGTTCGGAATAGTTTTGTTTTTTCTTTTTTCTAGGGTGANCTTTTCTTTTTCAAAAAAAAATCAGAATAATACAGGTTGATGTTTCAATAATTTTATCTGTTTTTTTTTTTTTTTTTTTTTGTTTGGAGTTGGTTGGGAATAGTTTTGTTTTTTCTTTTTTCTAGGGTGAATTCTGGTCATCTTCCTTGTAATCTTTTTTTTTTCTTCTTTTAATAAGTTTTGTTTTATTACCCAAAAAAAACTGAATACAGAATAAGTTGTTAGTTGTCCCTATCATGTAACTTGGTTAACTTTTCCCTTCGATGGATTCATTAAATTTCTGGTCCAGATGATCACCTGTAGTATTCATGGACTGGTCGATTGGTTGGTTGTCCTTTTAGTCTACTGATAGGCTCTCTTAAACTTCAGCAATCTTTTATCACTAAATATTATACTAGAGGTATCCTACTAATGCAGACTGCAAAGAGTAACAAGGCCATACATATGGTTTGTATTAAGCTGGCTTGCCTACTTTTTCCAGGTCAATATTCCAAATAATAAGAGCTTATTAGCAATTCCAGCTGGTATTAAGCAGAAGCGATATGTTGATGCTATAGTTCAAAAGGTACTATTGTTTATTTGTGGTTTACATCTCTTAAGAGGCTTGCCTAATTTCTTCAAATTTCAGTTTGTTTCAGAGAATTTTACTGTTGTTCTTTTCCACTACGATGGGAATGTTGATGGTTGGCTGGATCTAGAGTGGAGTAACAACGCCATACATATAGTTGCTCAGAATCAAACAAAATGGTATGACCTTTGAAGTGTTTTTACTTCTATTTTGGGTCATTTGTGAGTAGAGAAGATTGCATGTTTTTGGGCTGTTGTTAAAAACTCACAGTACCATCATTATATTTTGGAATAAATCCTTGTTAATGAAATTTGGTGGGGAAGTCTACCGCATTCTTTTTGGATTTTTTTAGGATGAAGTGTAATAATATTAAATTGAGTTTGGATACCGTTGAGAACTTATGGTTATGATCTTCCTATCTGGTCCTACTTTCTTGCTTAGAAGATCTCTGAGTTGGATCTTTTGTATGTCTTGTCCCACCAATTCCATGTCCCCAATGATTAGTGTATCATGGCTAGCATTTCCCTAGGGTCTCCATTACTTCTTTAACATACTATGATTATGGCATATTTTTTTTGTCCCAGGTGGTTTGCGAAACGTTTTCTGCATCCAGATGTTGTTTCCGTTTATGATTATATATTTCTATGGGATGAGGATTTAAGAGTAGACAATTTCCACCCTGGAAGGTACTTATCAAGGTCTTCTATAATGTTAGTCTGTTCTGCCGTTGTTGTCTTTTCTTAAAGTCTGAATTGTAGGTAAGTGAAGTATTAAAGGCTTTTTGTTTGGAGTGCGGGCATTTATATTTGAGTAATTACAGGGCAGGGTTTATTTTATGTTTCTGGTCAGCAGCATTTGATGTTTTGTAATCTCTGGTATTTAAAGTCATTTATTCAAATGTTATATGTATTGATAAACAGGGATATTTTTTGTATTTATGACTAAAGAAAGATAAATGGTTCATCTTTCTCCATGATTATAGGTGTTGGATTCCTTCTGTCTTCAAAATCTGTATGTTCAAAAAATATTTGCATTTTTTATCAAAGGGTTTCCTTTTTATTCCAAAGTCTTGTGCTTCTTAGATATTATGTGTTTAATAATCTGGGTTAGATGATATATCTTCCAAGGGTTTACTTATTCCATGTAGAGAGACTGGGCCGAATGGGCCATAGCCCATTACTATCTTTTTGATTAGTTCTTTCTTATTATTAGTTCTTAATTGGCCTTTAATCCTTTTTTATGTTTTCTAAGCATGCTGATGAGGTGGACGCCTACTTAAAGGTAGACTTGTAATTTATGTAATCTAAGTAAGATTAATAAAAGATTAGAGAGGAGAAAGAAGAGATCATTGAACTCCTCATTTTTTCTCCATTCTTTCTTCTTCCTCTTGTTGTCTTCTTCTTCTCTTTCTCTTCTACCTTAATCTGAAATATTTTCACTATTTTTTATTGGTTTGAATTACATCTTTCCATACACCTTTACCCATCAAAAATGGAAGAAAGAAAGAAAGCTAGAACCTCAGGAAGTGTCCTGTGATGTAAAAAGCTTGATGTCAGAAAGAATTTATACCCTCTTCTTTTCTAAGCTTTGTCTTCATTTATTAGAGCAGTCAGACCTTATCCAATTCCCTTATAGGAAATTTTGAGGTGGTTTATTAGAGTAGTGGGTCTTGGGCTGGTTAATGCATGCAGGGAAAAGGAAAGAACAAGTGCAGATAAATTGGAATCTAAGACCAGTCGTTGCTTATTTGTAGGTTTCCCAAAAGGCTCTGTAGGTTACCTATTCTATGATCCGAAAGAACAAAAGGTGTTTTGTAGTCGAAATGCCTGTTTCTTAGAAGAAGATTACATATTGGAGAATCTTCAATAAGAAGTTGTTCTTGATGAGGAGAGCCCAGGAGTAGTGGGAGATGCCCCACAAGCTTCAGATACTCAACCTAGAAGGTCTACCCGGGTATCAAGGCCTCTAGTTCGTTAAGACTATGACCAAGAAAGTTACTTAGTGGAAAACACGACAAATGAGGAGGATCCCACGATTTATGCGGAAGCAATGTTGGACATAGATTCCTTGAAGTTGGTAGATGTCATGAAAGTCGAGATGGACTCGATGGAGACCAACAAGGTCTGGACTCTTGTAGACCCACCCCCTGGGGTGAAAGCAATTGGTTGCAAGTGGATTTACAAGAGGACGAAGGGCCCAGATGGTAACATTGAGACCTATAAAGCTCGTCTTGTGGCAAAAGGGTACACTCAGAAAGAGGGAATCGACTATGAGGAGACATTTTCGCTGGTGGCTATGCTAAAGTCTATTAGGATCTTGGTAGCTGTAGTAGCATACCATAACTATGAGATTTGGCAAATGGATGACTAAACCGCTTTCCTGAATGAAGATCTTACTAAAGATATCTATATGCAACAACCGCAAGGGTTCATTATTGCAGGTGAAGGGATGAGAGATCCATCATATGGATGGCCGAACCCTGTAGGAAGGTAGGGCGAAATTTCAAAAATTTCACTCTCCCATGTAGGAACCATATTCCCTATTTTAGAAAATTGCATTTTCAATAATCAATCTTGAATCTAAACCGGACCAAATCTGAAACCAAAAGGGAGTGGAGCGTTATACCTGATACGAAGTAATAGTAAACTCCAATGAAGGTGCTCACGCCCAAGGATGAATCCAAAGACTGCTTTTACCGAAGATGACACGGTGCAGGATGAAGCAGAATCAGCAGGATGGCTCTTCAGCAAGAATTTGATGGAGGGCGAGTGAGCACGACTTCAGATCACTTTTTCTGCCAAAGGATGATATCAAGAACCCTTTCTTGATCGCTCCCAGAGTAAAGATCGAACTGGTTATGGCGGAAATAGTAGGAGAGAGCAAGAGCAAAAGATAGAGGCAGTCCAACTGTATGCTATCTTCTCTCTTGAATCAGTAGACTGAAGGATGAACTGGAGGTTCACCCTGCTCCTCTATTTATAGCTTTAAAGAGAGGTTCTCCTAATCCCATTAGGAGTTTCCTAATCCAAATCTTGTATTTGGATCTGGACTCTCTTTAAGGGATAAGGATAATCCATTATCTTAGCTGACAAGGGAGTGTTTCAAAGGTTACTGGGGAAATTTCATTATCAATGTATGACTCGTCCAGACATTTCATATACTGTGAGTCATCAGCCAGTTCATGCATGCTCCCAGAGACACATATGGCTGTTGTAGAAAGGGTGTTATGTTACCTTAAGGGAACCCTCGGGAAGGGTATATTATTTGCTAAAAATGGACACATGAAGGTAGAAGCATATATAGATGCTGATTGGGCAGGAAATGTGGATTATAGGAGATCCACATCAGGATATTGTGCTATGGTAGCTGGAAATTTTGTTTCCTGGAGAAGCAAAAAACAATCAGTGGTTGCTAGATCTTCAGCTGAGGCAGAGTATAGAGTTATGGCCCATGGTATTTTTGAGTGGTTTTTATGGCTTAGATCTCTCCTTAATGAGATGATTGTTTCATGTGACGAGTCACTGATATTGTGTTGTGATAACCATGTTAGACAGTTTTGTATGCCCTTAGCTTCAATCCGATTTGATGTACTTTTGACATTTAGTGTAAATAAATAAAGTGCATGTTTGATTCATGTTGTTTGGT